TTTTTTATTTCTCAACTTACTCCACATTCAGATTCGAATATTTGTTCTTTAGTAAATAGAACTGATGCTATAAAACTTGCAACCATACCAAAGAAAGGTAAACTAACAATGAAATTTGTTAAATATGGTATAGATATACGTACAACACTTTCAGAAGGTGTTATTTCATTTCGATTTGCCATTCTTTTTTGGATATGAAAAATAAAACGTCAATCTATGATTCAAGTCGCATGATATACAATTATCCAATTATTGCTTAGAAACCAAGAGGGCGCAATCAAATGGTATCCTTTTCATCAGATCTTGTGTTTTTTCCTTTTTTTATTTCAATTCCACATATAGGCTTTCCTTTTGATCGCTAACATGTTTCTAAATAAATCTGACGACAAACAATTTTCTCTTATTTCAAAAATTTATCATTTCCAATAGGAAAAAAAGTTTTTGTATAAAAATGTTAATCAACTTTTTTTTTTATATATAAGACAAAATTAAAGTATGTCAAAATATACAAAAAGGAATTAGTGTAGTAAATAAGGTAATAAATAGAATCCTAATTGCACTCATTGTTACGCGTGTGAGACTAGTGATTAGTTTATTTGCTATTGAAACGTCCTTCAAGAAGATTTGTATGCATGACGTCTGGTAACATTTTCTATTCTCTTTCGATTAATATAGAACAATATAATATATGCCTAAATTTAATGAGCTAAGACAGAAAAAAAAGATTTTTCGTTATATATAGAACAAATGATTATGCACAAAGCAACTAATTAATTTGATAGTATTCATTCTTCATTGAATTGATCATATTTGAACGCAATAAATTACAAACAAAGAAAAACAAAAAAAAGAATACGAATTGAAAGTATTGTTTTTTTTTTTCTGACAATAAATCATATAAATTAAAAACAAATGAAATAATATTTTTTATTTTTGATGATAAAATAAAGACATAGACAAGTATAGAACTTCATTTCGAAATAAAAGAAATTATTGTTCAATAAATTACTGTTCATCAGGAACATCTTCACCTGCATTGGTTTGTTCTTCTTCAGGTTCATCTGCAACTTCATCTGAAGAAGAAAAAAAAACAAGAAACAAATGAATTAAAATCAATAACTTTAAAAAACCTAATTTACCATATTGCAAGGCACTCGTGGTAGTTTCACCTCCATCATTTGTATTATTTTCAGTTGTTGGAATTAATTCTCCTGGACCTAATTCTAGTCGATCAGTATTTTGTTCTAAACCATGACCAATATCACCTGTTGATGTTCCCATGTCAATACCACCTTCAATTACCTTAAAAAAAAAAGAATACAAATTTTTGTTTTACTTTTTTTGAAATAAATTCAAATAAGAATTTTTACTTTTTTAAGTGTTTCTTCTAAGTTTTGATAATCATCAATACGTTGATTAACAACATCTCGAATAATTGAATCAAGAATAGTTCGACCGAGTACTAATTGATTAACTTGTGTCATTGTCTTTTCCATTAACCAAGGCATAAATGATGTTTCAATTTCTAAAAAAAAAATGAATTAATCAAATGAAAAAGAAAAATCTATTTTCATTTTTTAAATCAAATAAATACCATGTTCAACAGGATCATAGAAGTATCCATTTTCTCTTAAATTATTAAATACACTTGGAACAAGATCTTGTAAATAAGATTTAGCAAAAGCTCGTGCAGCAATTTTTTGTGCAACATCTTGCTCTAATCGAAGTGCTTCTTGTGCTTGTTTCATTCGACGATCTTTTTCAGCTCTTAAACGTCTTTCTTGTTCTTCTAATCTTTGTAATTCAATTAATTCAGCATTACGTATTTCTTCATATTCTCGTTGTTGTTCACGAATGTCAGCTAATTCTTCTTCTTCGGCAACTTCAATTAATGCTTGTTCAATTGTTTTACCAACTAATGTTTCAACTATTGGTTTTACTTCAAGATCAAAATCAAATAACTAAAAAAATTTTTTTTTTTTTTTTCTAGTTAAATTTAGCAGAGAAAAATGAAAAGAAATTTACATCGCCTGCTTCGATTTGTGTAGCTATATCTTTTCCAGTAGATTGTGGAATAAATAATGGTGATGGTGGTCGATCAAGAAATGCATCAGTTTGAACATCAACATCAGCTTCTTCAATACGATCACTAAATTTTTAACAAAAAAATTTCAAATTAAACTATTTTTAGGATAAATTTTAATAATAAAAACTTAAGGTTTTTTGTATATTGGAAAGAATGTCCGTCAAAATGAAACTTAAATCATCAAAAAACTATTCCACTAGGTTCTAACGAGTTTGTAAATATTGATTTCTCAATAGTACATCATGTTCTATCTTGTTTAAAGATGAAACTCTTAACTTTGTTTGAATGAAAGGATCTCTGCAATTTTCAAATCGCTATTGAGCGTACTGTAAATTTTTTAATTGAAAATAGATAACAATTATAAATGATACATAAACATAGAGAAAATAGATCTAATATGATTCATATCTAATCATTAAAATGTGTTCAATAAAACTTATTTAAGTCATTGAACAAGTTTTCATAAAATTTTGCATGAAATCAAGGTGAAACAGTATGACAAACAGACATAATGACAGGAAACAAATAACGTAGATGATTTTTTTTTAATCTAAGTAAATAACATTATTAGAGAGAAAATATACAGGAAATTCTTTTTCTTCATGCAAAGATAATGATATTAATAGATAGATAAGTAAAAACAAAATCGTTTGTAACATGAAAAGATTTTATTTCGAATAACTCTATGAAACTTAAATCTAATGAATGATTGTTTTGTTTTTTTTTTAGGTTAGATCTGAAATATTTTCTCTCTTGAAACTTAGATTGAAATATTTACCTGAGTTCTTCAAGATAAAGTTCTGTTTGAACATCGATATTTTTTCGATTATGTACAGGTTCAGGTGTTCTTGTTCGAATTTGTTCTCGTGCTTTACGTCTTGCTAAAGCACGTCGTTTAGCTTCTTGTTGACGTTGAACTTCAATTGGATCTGGTTGAGCATGCTATTTAAATCAAATGATAATTTTCTTCTACGAAAATCAAAAATTTACCGCAGGAAGTGTATGAAGTGCATAAGTATTTCCACGAATAACACGACGATCGTACATGAGATTACCAAATGTAGTACTTTCATCTCTTTATTGACATATAACAGATTAGAAATAGGAAAAAAAAAGAGAGCAGAATTAATATAATAAACTTACGGTGGATTAACGACTGATTGTCGAAATTTTTGTCGTGGTCCTTGTTGTTGTACTGCTTTTGGTTGACTGGAAAATGTATAAGTTGAATTAGGTGGTTTTACAAGTGTTGCAGCCATTTTAACAGACTAATATCTGTATTTATGATAGAGTTATAAAATAATGCAATTAACTACCAGTTGAGAACAACAGATGTTTTATGAGTATGCATTTTATCCTCAACAACCATAATACATAAATGACATACCATAATTGATTTTGTTGTTACAGTAGAGACTCTACTTGACAACTATCTTTAACAATAGTCAAACAAATAAAAAAAATAAATTTGTAATGTAAAATATATGAAAAGTAATCATTCGTAATGAAAAATTTGCAAAAATAATGGATGATTTCAATCACAGACTGATAGCGTCCTCTGTCGTGGAAATAACAGATTTACTTTTGATTTTGTTAACAAATATGATATTTTTCACATGAATGGTTTTGATGTTTTTTTAATTTTCGAAAGACGGACGAATATGAATATATAAATGAGTTGTATTGTTTTTGTTTACTGCACAAAATGAGAACGCATTGCTAACTGTTCTGTGGTCATACGTTTTCGTACTAATTCAATAGTATTTGATGATCATGCCGATAAACATTATTTATATATATACCAATTATTCATTCGAAATTGTACGTTACATCAACTATCAAGTAGTTTTTACAGTTGAAAAAATTATAACTAATGTAATTAGATAGAAAAGTATAGACTATCTAGTGTACACTAAGTCACTTATCAGAATTTTTCATCTATCAATTGCATGAATTATTTTCTTTTTTTCGATATGATCCACGAAAAAATGTGTTGCTTCAGAAAGTATAGTAAACATAAAAAAAGAAAATTGTTTCTTCATCTACGTACTCATTTCTTTCATTGGTTTTCTAAATAATCCACTTCGTTTTCAAACAAGATGGTGCCTTCATATTCCTACTGATGTATGTTCACTTTCAATGGTAGAGATTGGAAAGATACGCGTACCGCTCTCGAAAATACATGTTGGTGGTCAAATTCTTGCATTAAATTTGATCGTCAAGATCCTTCATGTCTGACAAGTAATGTTATTTGTTTTAAAAAAATCATCATACTTTGTCCTAAATTATTTTCTGTAAGTCTTGACACTTGAAAAGTATTCTATCATGATAAAGGTCAATGGCACCAGTATCAATCAACTAGAAATGTTCAACTTCGTATATACGAAGATTTGATAGCATTTTTCAATAATGATGAACACTTATTACGAGAAGATAATCATGAAGAAGATCGAAATAAAGATCAAAATATTCACAAACAAATAATTGATTCGAAATATCAATCAATCAAACTATTCTATACTATTGTTTTTTTTCGAATGCTCCTTATTATTCATGTGCACATTTACATTCTGTAACAACAATCATTTGTTCATTGACTCACTGACATTTATAAAATAGTGGCTTCATGATTTTGAGATATTCATTTTGTTTTTCAATAAATAAGCATTTCATATTTGATATTTATATTAGAAAAAAATCAAGTATAATTTTATTAGCAACTTTTTTATTTTCATTAATATAGTAAATTTTCATTTTAATAATAGTAAAAGGCGTGAGGGTGTGTCCATGGCAGAGAAAGTTGGTATATTGGATGATAATGCCGTGCAGTATAAAGTTGAAAAATTGTTTTCAAAAAAAAACATCAGCAGAAAGAAAAGAGCAACTGTGTTCTAGGATAATGAATTAGTTTTATTTAATATCGAATGAACATTTGTATGCGATGGTTGCTTGTGTCTGACACATAAAGATTCAATTGTTGGTCCAATACTATTGAACGTGGCGCATTCAGTAGAGTATATGAGTTGCCAATGGTTCCTGTGACACCAGCTATAGTTGTTGCATTTCGTTGACCAGCGAAAAACAACTGTACTCGATTATTGTTTGTGTCAGCTACATAAATGTTACCCATCGAATCGAGTGTAACATCTGATGGGCCACTCAGCGTTATTGATGTACTACCACTATAACCAATAGATCCAGCAACAAGCGTCCATCTAGTGGAACCGATAGTCCATCGAACGATTGTATGGGTACCAAAGTTGGCAATTAGCAGGCTGTTTGACGATGAATCAAAGTAAATGCCATGTGGACTGTACAACTGGTTGGTCACTGTTCCTGGTCCATTACCACCAATAACTACAGCACCACTGGATGCACCCGATGTATAGCTCATAATTCGATGATTATCGGTGTCTGCTATGTAAAGAATGTCCGAGGTCGAATCATAGAAAAGATCTCGAGGATAGTTTAGTTCATTCAGTCCGGAACCATTGAAACCTAAAATAGCATACAACAAGATTACCTCTGAACATTATAGATATGAGTAATTATGTTTCGATCATGTGTCCATTTTTCTTGAAAGAAAGATTTTCTAATTATTATCATGAAAAGCGTTGTTTCTTAAAGCGATCTGCAGAATCAAAGTATGGATAAGTGAGAGTTTCTTCTCATAGCTCAACTGGGCTTTCAAAACTAATGTATATAGACATCGGCTCTTACTCTTTATGAAAACAGTAAGGCACATACATGGGAAAATATATTCTCTCAAAAATCTTCTGGAACTGCACGTCTGTTATGAGTTGTTGCAATGGATGAGGTTCCGCTCACTGGTCAAAGTGGAAGTTAGATATCATGTATCAGTCGTGTCTTGGTGTGGTTGAAATCATGATCCAAGTATTTTGTCAGCTATGCTAATCAATGGAAAACTAAACTTCAGACTCATTTGATTTGGATGGTATGCTTCAATTGATTACATTTACTCGACCTATACTTATGAAATATTTTGTTTGATCAGAGACAATGCCCAATGGAAAAGCTATTAACAGCTGTTTGCCTATGATCACCGTTCCAAAAATATTACAGCTACATGACGACATCCGCAGATCCAAGTGGCTAATATATGGTTATTCGGTGTGTATGAAGAGCTCAAACTATTAAATACAAAAATTTTTATTCAGGTTGTGATTTAATTCAGAGTTTGAGCTAGACTCGGTATTAGGCAAAATGTCGTTCTTATAAAACTGCTTCTCGACCATGCTCACAATTGTTGGTCAGTCAAAAACTGTGAGTATTTCTCTTTTCAATCATAGGTAACGTCACCATACGGCATTTAAACTCTTATAAACCTACATATCCTACCGTTTTATCGAGCTTCTTCCCATCCCAACCGATGATGACACTCTGATAGAATACGCGCCGTCTTCTTTGACACTAACATAGTCACAAGTGAGTTCTTGTGATAATCGTCTGTGTTTAATTGAGAACGGTGTATATTCGACAAAAGTACCATCGTTATAGCATTTTTAAAAAATCTCATATTGAAATACTCTTCAAATTCAAACGAATCTTTCATTGGTTAAGCAGTTCTTTCTCAATCTTCATGCTTACCGGTACCAATAAGAGTTGTTCCTGATAGTGCACCACTAGACCAAAGCTGAACACGATGATTGTAGGTATCAGCCACATAAATATTATTACTCGAATCTACATAACTGCTAAAAGGGTTGTACAAATCAGTTGATGTAGAACCTGCCACTCCATTAGCCTGACCGGCTACAGTTGCTCCCGCTGAATCACCAACTTTCCATGCTTGAATTCTATGATCGAGCTGATCGGCAATATATAGCAAACCGGATGAATCAAAACGTATCTTCCTAGGATTATAGAGCCGAGAAGATAGCGGGCTCACAGAATATCCAGTGCCAGCGATGGTAGTTCCTATTGTACTCCAACGAAAACCAAGTGTAGTAGTCACTAAAATTAATGCCACAGCAGAGAATGAAACCTGCATGAAAATCAATGTAAATTGTTAAAAAATCTAATGGATCACTTGCGTAACCTTTCGATCAATTCATTTAGGATCATGCGAAACCCATCAATAGCAGAGAAGTGGCTCCTCTATTCATAATAAAGCTACTAATTAATTGAAAGATTTATCTTTTCATTTCTGTTTTGTTTCTGAGGATTGAATTTGATTGTTATTGAAAGCTTGAACAAGTGATCCATTTGATTTGAAGACTAGAGTCATTTCATTTATATGAGCGTTTTGAAAACTTACATGACTAGCATTTCACTAATTCGATGTATTTCAATGTAGTTTTGTCAAATATATACAAACACACGACATATTAATTTATTCCTGACATTCTATGGGACATATAGTACTGTTATTTTCTCTTCTATCTTCGCGCACTACCTCAGCTTTATTCCTTTCTCTTATGTATCATACATATAGATGTTCTTTTCTTCCTCTCTATTCTCTTTACGTTGTTTTTGTTCTCATATACATTATGATTAGTGTTATTGAATAAAATGGAATTCATGTTCAAGCAAAACTTACAGTTGTGAATCCTGGAAGACGCAGCTGGACTTTTCTCTTTCGTAGTGCTCAGTGTCGGACTCGGGTTACGTCATGGCAGGTCGGATCACCAAAAAAATAATTCAATTTGTATCAGACACTGCTAGCACTGTAACAATCCCCCATTTCTTATGTTGTCAGGAATTAATCTGTCTGCCCACATCTAGTTTCCGAGAACAGATCTAATCGCCAAGCTTTTGTGGGAAACGATCAGTGAAAATCTAGCAGATAGAGTCTTTTTGCGATGGGTGAGCACCAGCTCTTTTCTTGAGAACTGGTCGCTTAGATCAACTCTTCGAAACTTGAGCTGATAGACAAGGCCATTTTATCGGAACTGAAACTAATCGATCAAATTAAAGGAACTGTAAACTGATTCGCTTGAACGGGTACTGTTATGGTCCTACTCTTCACTCGTATCCACAAGACTACATTTACAAACTAAACTATGTTAATACTTGACTCTTTCAAGCCGCAAGATATGAAGCAAAAATACGGCTTTCGAACTAATGCTGCCATTGGAAAATAAAAATTGAAAGTTCACATTTTTTATTATCATTTGGAAGTGTCCATGAAAATACGTTATTAGGCCAAAACTATTTCTGTGATTCAAAATAGTGATATTTATAAACATATTATTTAGGAATGCAACAGTGGCGATAAAAGATCCTTACCAGAATTCGATCTGTCGATCATCGCCACTTGTCGGTAACCAACTTATACCGGTGGTATAAAGTGATACTGTCAGGCCTGAATCCACTATAGACTGGGTCTCGGTAAGAACCGGTTACCATTAAGAGACGGTTATCGCTTTGAACTGGTCAACAGGGATCGTGAAGTGATGATTTACCGTCACTGTTGTAGCTCTAATTTTACTTAGACTATTTTTGAGAAGAAATAAACTGAATCGTAGCAGGATTATGTGTACGTAACTTGAAACAAAGTGAAAAGGGTAAATTCTTACAAATTTGAAAATGAAAATAGTATATGGAAGAAGCACATTTCTTGTATGTGTAAAATGAGTTTAGTTACATTTCAAAATTGAAAAATCCATTTTTAGTAACTCCATGAAGATTTCTAGCTTATGCTCACCTTGTGATGTAGTTGTTGTACTTCCTGTTGATGTACGAAAGAGCGAATAAATACCAATCGACAATCCTGCCAAAGCGACAATGATGCTGATGCCAATGGCCACAATTAATAGCTTGAAAACTGTAATTTTATTTCCAGCAGTTTGGACTTTCGAAACTCTAGTAGAGAAAATCTCAGAATAATAGACTGATACGTGATAAAAGAAGGAAAAAATGATTAAATGAGTACTACAACTCACGACGAGTTTTCGTTGAAAGTATATTTTTGACGATCAGAGGTGAATGAAGATAACCGGGGCGCCGGCTGCTTTGTATTATTTTGAATATCTTTCACTTTTGTCCATACTTATGGAGACTTAGAAGCGTCAGCTCGTAAGGTGTATGGTTCGACAGATGACGATAAATACATGTTCTTCGTGGGTTCCGCAGCTGAAGCTGGTTTTATCTGGAAAAGAAAGAGAAATATGTAACAAGGTTATATCTGGATGTTTTATTTGAGTCTTTTGAATTATTACTTTGGATGATTGCGGTATTATTGAGGGATGCGTAAATCGAAAAAAGTTCATGGTGTGCTCTACCTAGCTGATCGTATGAGGAGAACGAATAATGAAAAATGTTGCAGAAGCGACTAGAATTTATATTCTTTCATAATGTCTTGTGCGAAAAAAATTCACTTGTATGGTAGTCTATGAAATTAATTCTCCCTGATGCTACTTGAGCAGTCATTCATTTATTTACATAGTTTATGGCCATCAAGCAACGCAACAGATTTGAAATTGAGTCTGTCTGTTGTTGCTTACACTAAAAAACAAATATGCGTTGCTCTTACTCTCTTTCCATTGTGTCTATGGATGCTTATATATGCAACGTTATTTGTTCTTTTGCTTATAGATCTCTCATCCATTATGAACATTGATCATATGTCCAGGATGAATATTGATTGTCGATGCTAGAAGCCAGCATTCTCAATTTATTCAGATCAGTAACGAATTTTGTTCAGCTAAAATACCAAATTTTCGAATCACTTGAATAGTCTCTATCTCTATAGAAATATGGTTTCAGATATACTTTTGAGAATGAATACGCTTGTTATGAAAGGCTTTGTACAAAACGTTTACCTGGCGGTTTCGACGAATTATTGAAATAATGAACTTCATATCTTATTCTATTCGAATCTTATTCAACGTGGTAACTGCAATGTATTATGTCAGCACTTTTTATATTGATATTAAATTTCCTCAAAAGCGAAAATTTTCTGCAGTCTTGCTCTACTCGTATAAATTTAATGATCTAACTTTGTCAAAGTTTAAGATGATTTCGGATTACATTCATATGAAGTATTACAATTAGTTGTTTCGGTACGAATTGAGACATGTTGAACTATTTGCATTCTGCAATATCGGTTTTATCCTTCAGATTTTAAAAAGTAATATGAATGTTTTAGGCTTGATTTAAACTATCGAGAGCTTCGTGATGAATGAGATTTTCAGTATTTTGACTGTAACTTATTTTTCTTCTAACCAGAATGTAGCGTATCTCACAACAAAGAATATGCGTATTATTTCAATGCAATTCATATAGTATTTTATGCCTTTGTAAAAGGTTCTAAAATATAGTTAATGTATTTTGAACAATATTTCGAGAATTTGAATACTCTGCAGCTTCATTGTATTATTCGTATAATATCCAGTTTCTTTTATTCGTAAATAAAATAACCAACAAATTATTTGTAGAGAACTTGGAGGTACATATTTTGAGAAGACAAATAAGTTGACTGGTGTTGAAAGCAAGAAAAGTTTGAGCCAAAATATTGAGAACCTCAGGAATGATAAAGCACGCGATATAGGATGGACTATGGAATATGTTTTGATCTATGTGTATTTATGTAAATTGAATTTCGTTAAAAGGAAACTTGGAGATTCTTGAAAAAAACAATAATGTACTACTACATGTGGGAGGACTCAAATAAATATGTACAAGAGAAGTTGCTTTTGTTGACAGGAAAAATCTTTATCATTTTTTCTCTTCCCATTACATTGCTGTAGTTAAAACAAAATTGAGCTGATATTATAACATCTTAAGCTCTAGTATATCTTATTAAAATTTAAATTATTATGTAGTGAAATAGATTTTTAAAACCTATGGATTTCACTGTAATTATTAATAGAAACATGCATGGAACCCGAAAAACTTCTTCGTCTTGTATTTCCTCCGAATATTGTTCTACGTATTGATTTTCATGTAGATTTTTCATAGGAATAGTCTGAGTTTTGTTTGCATCAAACGAGAATATTATGCTCGATGCGTTATAATGAGAGCTGACAACATGAAATACAGATGAAGGACAGCAGCAACACTTGACATGTTGCACTTTCTCATTTCTTTCTCAATTTATTATTGCAAACAAATCTAATCAATGCGATGCGATATTTCGGTCGCGCCTGCCTCTTTTACGAAGGGAATAAAAATTAATTTTCAAAAAATTTTTTTGTGCAATAAATATTGATTTAAAATATAAATTGCAATTGAAACATTACCCATGCTCATGAAGGTGCCCTTATTTTTACGATGATGAATCATACAGGCAAGCGGACATCATCTCAAATTTTTTCAGACAGTATGCAATCGTAGGTCAAAGTGCTCCACGACGAGAAACAGGAAAGAAGAAATATATTTTCTGAGCCAGAAATTTTGTTCTAATTTAATACGGTTTTGTGTTATAAAATGTCATTTGACATTTTTGAATAATATAATCTTTCCGTTCGCTATTTCTAATATCGTAATTACATACGTTTAAAGTATTATTTTGAAAAAAGTCCAGTTTGCCAGTTCTTCATAAAAGATGTCTCGGAATAAAGATCCGTAGTTTTTAAATAATGACTTCTGCTTACTTAGTAGAATAGTATCACGAAGAAAAAGCTACGAGCATCTCATTTGTTCCTTCTTGTATCTAACAACTTCATAATTAAGTTTTTTGAAGCAATCAAGAACAAAAAATATAACTTGTATCAAAATCGTACGGATAATTTTTGTCGTGACTGTAAATGCAACAAATACAGTTGATAAATGTTCGATGTAAATATAATGAAACCACGAAATAATACAATTACCTTTTATGAAGGACAAGCAGAAAATAAATTTTCGAAACTAGAGAACAAAATCGGTGGATTTACTAGCATGATTCAATCGAATTTTTCTTAGGAGCCGTGTTGTAGGCTGAGAGCAAACTTCTGACGAATTCATTACTGAGACATATTTGATACGATGATTTTTACATAAAGCAAACGTTTGATACAGATCAGATCTTAATAGATAAGAGAACACAATACAAGAGTGAGAAAATATTCTATGTAAATCTTATTTGATTGCTTTTTTTCATAAGTAAACCCTGATGTGAATAAATCTTCAAAACCAAATACATTCTACTTTGCGCATACCTCCGATTCTAAATATTATAGTTCATAAATTCGTAATTGACCTTATTTTTACACTTCAATTACTATGATCATATACGAAAATTATTTTTCAATTTACTCTTAATTAAGATCAATATTTTCATTTCACTTTATTGAAAACTTCAGCATTTTATTCAATATATTCTAGTAATAACGAGATCTGATCAAGTCAAAAATTATATGCAAAATACTGATCGTTACATGTGCGATTTGATTATGAATTTGTGACAAAAAACAAAACTTTTAAATGCTTAACATCCAGGTTTCCATTGAAACAATTGTTTAATTGGTTTAAAACCTAAATTTTTGACAGCTGGACTATTAATACTAACATTAAAAAAATTACATTGATTTTCAGCATGAATAAACAGTGGATCTGTTATATAACTATTTATATCATGATTTGTTTCTTGCCATTCACTAAAAACAAGTCTTCCAAGACCGAAAATCATCATATTTCCATATACATTAAAATAACAATTATAATCCATAATGACAAAAGGTGCTGAAAATGGATCAGGTGCTTGAACTTGAAATATCCAACGTCCACTTTCATTAACAATATCATAAATAATATTATGTCGAAAAGTAAATGATAAATGATTAGGTGATTCACGACGATATAATGAAAGAGCACCATCACTTTCATTACTTGATCGAGCAAGAATATTATTTTGAAATGTATTATTGAAACCATAAATCATAGTAAAAGCAGCTGAACCTGTATTATAAACAATGGTATTTGTTATCATCAATTGTGAAGTTCCATCAGCTAAATAAAGACCCCAATCCAATAGAAAATATCCATAAATGTCATGTAAAACATTATTTGTAATTAATGTTCCATTTAAAAGACCGCATGTGTAAATACCAGCAAGGTCACTTAATAGATATTGTCCAATATGATGAATATAATTATAAGATATTGTATGATTATAACATGAACTTTCGTCATAACTCCTAAAAAAAATCGAGAGTAGAGATGTTAATGGCTGGCTTTTTTTTACACAACCCGTGAGCTGCTTTATGAGTTAAACAGTCATTAACTTCTCAAGGACTAACTGACGGGTTCATTCAAATTTTATTAGTATTCATTAACATTTTTATTCATACATTCGTTTTTTAATTATTTTTAACACTAAGATTTTTATAAGTAGAATATTATCTTCCATTTCTGAGCATATACATAAATATTACAAAATTTCAATTAAACTTCTGCATAACAAACAGTGAAAGTAATAGCATACGCTCATACAGGGTGTCCCAAAAGTCCGTTGGAAAAGTTAATTCAAATATCTCTTATACGACTCAAGCAATTTAATCGATTTTTTTATAGTATGTTAGTATGTTCTTTAAAGTTTTGTTCTGTATATTTTTGGATAAATGTCTGTGCCTATAACTATTAGAATTAGAATAGTTCTATTAATGCCCAAATTTGAGTTACCTATCATTGTGAAAGGAAAAATGCAAGTCGAATTTGACATAAAAACGCTACACATGGACTGTGCTATTGCCGCTTTTCAAGGCCTTTGCGAAATGAGTATAGTAGTAAACAGACAACAATTTGAAAGACCTTCAAAAACTACAAAAGAGAAAATCAGCAAAGTTTATGATAATTGTGAAAATGTGCCACTATCAAGTGTTCGGGTTGTTGCAACAGCCTACTTCATTCCATGGACAATATCAGGACGAATTATCACTGAATATCATCTAATGAATCCATATAGAGTGTAATTTCTCCTATCATGTCATAGAGAAGATTCATAAGATCGAGTTGAAATTATATCACTTTGATACGCAAATTACAAAATATCCACAATCAGAAGAGCTCTTTTTTTTCATACAAAGTCTCTTTTCATTTGAATGGTTTATTAACAAATATAAAGTAGAGACCTATATACATAAGATATATATATAAAGATTTGGTTGAATTCAAAATAAGAACCGATAACGAAACGAAATTAGCTCGAAAATAAACTTTCTGCAATTTTTTTTAGAGATTTCAAAAACGATGGATTTAGGTATTATACTTCATGGTAATCATTTTGAATATTTGTTGCAAACTAAATTATGTGAAATAAAACTTTAAAGAACATACTAACACATTATAAAAAAATCAATTAAATTGCTTGAGTTGTATAAGAGATATTTGAATTAACTTTTCCGACGGACTTTTGGGACACCCTGTATATTCAATATTAATTTACCAGATACAACTATTTTTATATTTAACGAACTAGTGACATATGATTCAACAAAGTTGGTTATTGGTACAGATGTAGATTTTTGGTTCGGTGCATCTAAGAGAGGGTCCACACCCCACAGTCACAACTAAAGTACATGTATACATATATGCTTTAAAACAAGTAGATACATGACTAGAACGAAGATTCGTTAAACCGGTAAATCATGAAAATACTTCGTCAGTAAGCTTGTGACTCGTCAGAAATCTGATCTGTTTAAGAAATACGAGTCAAGTGGATTGAATAAAAAGAGATCAGTCCATCAACATTTTTGATCAAGAAATGTGAAAAGTAATGATGAATATATGGTGAAAATATTTTGAATTAAACAAATAAAACTTACCATGACCAACCTATTTGAATAGCGGTATAGAAAAATTGATAAAAAGTATTTTGTGTTATTAAAATATTCATTGTTGCACGTTGTACAAGTATTCCGACACCCATTGGAAACAGATGACCACCATCATACAATGTACAACTTCTGATAATAATATTTTCTATCAGTTCTTGATATTCATTTTCATTCTTTGTTCCTATACCTATTCTCACACCACCAGCTCCTAAATCATACATTCGACTATTTTCAATAGTAATTTGTTTACATTGTCGATCTATTTGTATTGCATAACCGGCTGTATGTGCAATTTTTATATTATTGAATTTAATTTCACTTGAATTACGTAAATAAACAGTAACTATTGATTTATCTAAATAATCAGCAGCTGCTCGTCCATCGATCGGAATACTTCTATTAATTATGGACATCATCCATGCACTATGTTCAATTCCAATAGAATTCCATTCCATTTGATGAACATTCATAATTGATATAATTGTTTCAAAAATTGGTAATATAATAATTGTTGTTTGTAGACTTTCATTTTTTCGTGGATGATAATATAAAATTTGTGTTTCTGAATCGAAATAATATGAACCTTCTTGAATTAACATTCCTTCATGAACATTTTCAAGATGAAAACGTTGACCTGATTGTTTACTAATTGATGTATTACCAATAACTGATAGACATGGATTAGAAAATATTATAGTACGATTTTGTGAATATATCTTAGAAAAATAATGACGTGATGTTGTCAATGAATGATAAATAATAAATTCAGTTATTGATGTTGAACTAAGTGTTATATTATTAAATTGATTTTCACGATAAATAAAACCTTGATAGGCAAGATGTGTACGATTATCAAGTCCTTTTTCATAAGTAAAATAACCTGTTTCAGGTAAACGACTACGTATAGCACGATGACCATTAACAAATAATTGAGTTACTGCAGGTAAAGAACTAGGAACAATAATATTCCAAATCTTTACAGAAGATAAAATTTATTCTTATTCATAAAATATTTCTCTATACTTACTCCTTTATTATTAATCCAGTTCGTTAAACGAATACCTCCACTAATTATTGGAAAATCTAATTCAATCAAAGAATTTTTTCTTAATAATTGAATTTTATTTCGTTCTTCATGTGTCATTGTTGTATAAATTGTTAAATGATCACGTTCATCAAATATCAATGTATGATTTTTTATAAAATGATAAGTAGGATAAAGAGCTACACGTCTATATGATAATCGAATAATTGTACGAAGATAATCACGAGCCTGTTCAATTGTTGAAAATGGATATTCTAATGAACCATCTTTTCGACTTGTTTCTAATGAAGATGGAACAACATAAATTGAAAATGAACATAATGTTAAATTAATCATATATAACAATGAGATACAATAAGTAAATATATGCATTTTCAAGTCAAAAAACAAACGTGAATGTTTCTAATGACAAGTGTTATCAGGCAGATATACACAACAAATATGATAATAAAAGCATGTCCATTTTATCAAAGTAACACAAACTAAAACAATGAGAAGTTCTTTTTTTTTGAAATCTTCGAATTCATAAACACTTTTTATGAAGTGTTTGGTGTATTTTCATTGATTATGATAAAGAAATAAAAAAGATTAGCTGAAAATTCATTAGATTTTAATCGAAAGCATTGATATTAACGCAATATTCATTTCATATTTATTAGACGTATACTGTCAACTGCCGTTCATTTCTGATCCGTTTTATTTTCAAATAAAGTATTATTGATTGTCCATTTATTTCAGTGTAGAATTCATGAATTGTTTGTATTATATTATCCAGATTTTCTCTGGTATAGAAGTGGCTGTAAACTTCAGAAGGGCAAACTTCTACTTTGGATTGCACAGATACATAGGACATGCAAGAATCATTATCTCGAGAAGAGCCAACTCGATCTTGCAATATCACATATATTATACGAAATAAATATGTTTTTATGGATGATTAATTCAACTATTTACTGGTTGATTTCAATTTCATGTTGGAAATAATTCCGTTACACTTGCCTTTTGTTTCTATGGTTATTTCTGGGTTGGAATTTCTGTTACTTCACGTTATTTCTTTTCATTTTCTATCAGACATGGATAAAACTTCAGAAAACAAGGTATTTAGTGCTTTTTTTTTCTTACATGGACAATATTAACAGAAGCTTTGTTTGTTTCATGTTTATATTGCTTTTTGTTTACTTACATCATGTTAACTTCAACATGTTCAATTGTTTAGTATTCAGCCTTCTCCAAATTCACTCAGACATGATGAAAACTCCTATTTTATTGAGTATTTTTAAATAAAAATTTTCAATTTGTTCATTAATATGCGAAGTTTATAATTATGTTTAGTATTGATATGCAGTTATATATTAGAAAATTCTTCAAAAATATTTCGTTTCTACATATGTCTTTATTTGATTCTCAATAATGTATAGTTTACATGGAAATATAAATCTGTTTTTTTCTTAAATATTATTATTATACTCAATGGTAGAAACATTCTCTTGTTATTTTAGGATAAAAAAAAATTTCTATTTGAAAAAAGTTTTTTCGTTTATTTAGAAAACTTTAAAATATACTACCGTTTAACTATCATTCTTAAATGTGTTACTACTTAAAAGTTTATAAATCAAATCAAAATAACTATGTTCATATCTAACTAGCATATAAGTCTATAGTATATTCTATAAACTAATGATTTCAGATAAATATATTTCAATCAAAAGAATAAAGAAAAAATAAATAATACAATGTTCAAAGGAAGATAAATATAGACAAGAAAAAAGAATAACTTCTACCGGCTATATTCTGTTTAAAGTATCATTGTCAAAAAGAAGAAATATGTTTAATGTACATGTTTAGATCGTTGTTGATAATTAGATTAACCATAAATTGATTCATCACTATAAACAACATAGAGAAATTTATCTTCATCCGCCTAAAATAACATTTGATGCATATTTATATTTAAATAAAAGCAAATTAACTAACATGTTCTTGATAAAGAGCACCCATTGTCATTGATGTACTTGGGATTGTCTATAAAAAAAAAAATCAAATAAAACTTTATGTAATACTTTCACTGTTGGATGTTTAGTTGATATAAAAACAATTTGCCCATAGGAATAAAGATAGGCTTTTATAAATAACTTAAAACATATTATAACGATTTAAACATATAAACTTTATGTTTACAGATCGACAAATAGACTTACAAGTGACTGTATCATAAAATAAGGACTATTTCAAAACAAAGAAAACCAGTAGTTTTTCCTAACTATATACATCATTCTAAACAAAGGCCTTGTAAAAATATGAGCTAATCAATAAAAACAATATGAACTGTATATTATTTGATATAAACAATACTTTGTGAAATCAAAAAAACCTAATTGAAATTCATAATTAGACCAGATTATAAATTTAATTCTATTTATACGTCCATGAACAAAAGCCTTTCCTCCTTCTTATTCAAACTCTTTTGGTTTCAAGTGAATGTTAGTTACAAAAATGGCTTAAATACTCTATTTTATTGTAGTATATAATTAATTATGATCTATTTCAATTGAGAATCTATACCATTCAATACAATCGATCAACACTAAAAAATTCATTGTTTGGTAGAACACTTAATGACTGAACTGTCTGTTTTTTTTTCAATATTTCACTAGTTTTACTTGATCTGTATTTGTATAATCCCTTATATCATATTCTCACAAGAGTTTGGAGTCGACGACAAAAAGATATAATTCAATCGTGAAACACTCTATCAACCAACTCAATTGTATTGAAAGATGTATATTCTTCATTGAAGCATATTATCATCAATCATATAATAAAATTCTTACAACATCCTTGTAATTTACATTCACTTGAGACCAAAGAAACTTTATACGAAATATATATATATAAATAAATATATACATTATTGACAAAGAAAAAGAGTGCATCTTCAGGTCGAAGTTGAATACGTTTACGAATAAGAAAATAAAATTGACCAACCTAAAATATCATTATCATTGATAAATAATAGAAATGAAACAAACAAGAAATATTACTGTAAGATCATTAGGTACTAAATATTTCTTTGATGGAAGATCTGAAATACGTGAATTTGGTGCACGTTCAACAATAACTGCACATCGATCCGGATATTCACGACGAATACGTTCGCCTAAAAAATTTTTAAAATTTTTTTTTCCTTTTTTTCATTTAAATATACCTTCAGCACGGCGACTTTCATAAGGATTATTAGTTTTAAATTCCCAACGCATATTTATATCTAGAATTTTAATGAAATAAATAAAATCTAAAGAGCAATATTTGATATTGTAATAAAAGCAAGTGTCCCTGATATCGATTGAAATCGATTATCTTTTTCTAAGAAATGTTTTTGTAAATATAATTTTTTTTTTTCTATACCACCAAAAAGAATAAGTTCACTTCGAGCATATATTAATGAATAATAAAGTGATGAACGTGATGGACTACCAAATACATTTGTACATTTTGATGGTAACCATGTTACAGATGGATTTGATGAAAATATATTTGATAAATCAAGTCGATACATTTGAAAACCTGTTGATATATCCATCATAGTATATTTATAAGTAATTAATGGTAATTGTGTTCGTTTATGTATTATTGAATAACGATTTGTTTCATCATTTTCATCACTTGAACTACTTGGAAGAGATGATGTTGATAAATCTTCACGAGATTTTTTATCACAATGAGAAAAATCATATTGACTATATGTATGACGTTCATTTTCAGTTGGATATCGTTTTAATCGACCAAATGTTATTAATATATTTGATGATGATACCATACAAAATGGTAAATAAGATAAATCATCATTATTTGGTGCAAAATCATTTGGATATTGATTATTAACTGTTATTTGTGTCCATTGATTTGTTTGAAATGAAAAAATCCATACATCACGACAAACACAAGTTAAAGATGAACCTCCAACAATTAAAATATTTTGAGAATTTAATGTAAATTGTGAATGACCTAATAGAAAAACAAAAACATAAGAAAATATTTATTTTATATACGAAAAAGTAAGAATGAATAGAATTTCTATATTGTATAGAATCATTAAGCAAAATTTTCTTACTCTATATAAATGATAGGAAAGAATAAACTTCTAGATTTATTAGGATATGTAATCATAATACTTAAAAGTATTTTGAATATATATTTGATAAGATGAACGGTTTTCAAAAATAGAAAGAGAATATAAAGATACATAGAATCATAGATATGATTGATTTTTTTCAATAGTTTTTCAACGATTTTCTAAAACTGTGACTTTCTTTTTGTTACGAAAGGAAAAAAGGTATAAAATGATTGTTTAAAAGAAAATCAACTTTGAATTTCAAATAGAATATTTATTTAACTTCTAAATGATAAAATCTAATAAGAAATTTGAATTCTCATTTGATAATTTCAAAATTTATTGTAAACATTTCTAAAAATAGATTTGTTTCAAGAAAGATCGATTGAAAACAAAACTAAATAAAAAAATTCAAATCGATAATTTAATACATCTTTATTTTTTCTTTCTAAAGGTGAAGACTCATCACTTTCTATCTTAGTTCTATTAGAACTAATTCAAAATGTACGGATTCAGTATTATTGCCACATATCATAATCAACAACTCTTATCGAAATTCTATTATTATGAAACTAGTTGAAGAATTATGAAAAATATCAAGCAAAACTTTACAATAAGTCAATATTAAGTGAAAGTTTCTTTACGGTATTCAAGTACCTTCGCTTCTATTTATAATATGCTCTAAGTGTTTGTATAAAACACAATTTAAAAGTAATATTGATGTATAGGTGTAAAAATTTAGACTTGTCCCTATCCTCTTCCAACAGACCATGACAAACATCAGTCGAAGGTCATTACAAATCATGACAGATATCAGTTAGAGGTCATTACAAACCGTGACAAACGTAAATATAAGAAGGTCATAAACTGTGACAAGCATTGTTAGTATACGATCACACACTGCATATAAATAACGTCTAGTTGTCATATATACAAATTACTTCCTTATCACATTTTTTTGTATGATTAAGTAAAACGATTGGTGAAGTCGAAAAACAGATAAAATAAGTCTTTCAATGATTAACAACTGCATCGCTATTACACAAGGTTTGTATTTCTAAATATATATATATGTTATGGGCAAAATTGAAATTCAGTCAAATTTGAAATTTGCCCAGTCAAAATTAAAATTTCAATTTCGACTAGGCAAGTTTCAAATTTGACTGAATTTCAATTTTGCTCATAACACATATATATATATATATATTGTTAAATAACCTTTTCTTGGTTCTGGTTTAGTTCCATTAACATGAATCATTGTCCAAATATTTGTATGAATATCTGTCCATTGCCATAAATCATTTGTTCTTTGAGGTGTTGATTGTTGATTTTGATCATTTATTATCATAGATCCACCAAAAATAATCATTCGTTTTTGATTATTAATATTAATAATTGATGCACTATGATCACAAATAGGTCCAGGTTCATTTAAATTTACATGTAAATTCCAAGAATTTCTTTCTAATGAATATGAATGAAGTTCATTATGAAGTTGTTCACGCATATGTATATCATCAATATAAATCATTGAACGACCACCAAATAATAATAAATTTCCTTGTTCATCATCAATAAATGTTGATGAACATTTTGGTGGTGGATAACTTCCTGTTGCTAAAATTCTTTCCCAACTAAAAATTTCAAAAAAAAAAATCAAAAAAAAATCAAATTTAAAATTTAAAATAAAACCTTCGTGTTGATAAATTTAAACGCCAAAAATCATTAAGTGATGTTGCCATATCTCTATTACCACCAAATACATATAACATTCGTTTTGAATCAACATAACAAACAGAATGTGAAAAACGTGGTGTTAAATTAAATTTTGTTGGTGGATCAATTAAATGCCAATGAATAGAAACTGATGATGTTGATAAAGATAAACTATCATGAAATGTTTTCATACGCCAATTTTTAATCACACGCCAAAGTCTTTCCCATTGTTGACAAACAAGTCGAATAGATGCATAATCACTGTATAAAAATAATAAAAAAAAAGATTTAGTAGATCTCCTTAAAAGATAAATATTTATCTTTACTTATAAGGTAAAAGATATCGAAAAATACGTAATAAAATTTCTTCAGGTAGATCTTCTATAGATTTTGAATAAATACAAATTTCATCATTATTGTTCATTATTTAACACTATGAATATTATCACTAGACAAAACAGCTGATACGTTCTAATAACTCAAGCACATGATGAATATATTTCCTCGTATTAACTCAGTGATGCAAGTAGATTTATTCTTGTTGGATAAAGTTTTCTCCAATGAAAAATTTTCATTGATCTTTTTCTGTTTTTTTATTTATTTATTCGTCCTTCGTATTTGACGTCCATTTATTGTTCGCCGCCTTTTTTTTTTCTTCTCTTAATAAAGAGTATTCTGATCAATAAAATAAAAAGTGCTGTTGAAAAGAAATTATCATTGAGTATGTATGTGTTTTGTCTTCTTTTGTTTTTTTCGACTTTAATGTATATTCGAGAATTTGAGTTTTTATCTTTCTTGATGAAAAAATCTTTTACGTTATACACGTGAATGTTTTTCTTTTTCCAAGTATAGTCAATGTTTGTTTTGATTTATTAAAAAAAGTTGTAGGAGTTGTCAGTTTTTGTTTTTTTTTCTTCTTCTTCCTTGTTATTAATTTATATTACGACAGAATAGTTTGTAAATGACGAACATTTGTTGATTGTTCGAGAAGGATGAAAATGATTTCATGCTACTTTCCTATATAGACAAAACAATAAGAAGTTAGGGCTTGTTTTCCAGATTGACGGCATTCTATATACTAATTGGTCTAACTTGTCTAGCACGTCAAACAATGTAGATCTTGCGGTGTTGCTGATCTGGAGAAATATCGAAATACGAGTTTTTTTTTGTTGCTTACTCGGTAGTAGGCGAGACAAAGATAAGAAAAACTATTTATCGAAAGATAGTCATTATGAATAGAATTTTTCTTATATATATCATTTATTTTTAGATTAATTCTACTCTCTTTTTTTGTATATATATAAATATATATATCTGGTAAGTTTTTCTATAACAAATAACGTTTAAATAAGTATGTATTTATAATTTATTGGACAATCTAATGTACTGATTTGTTTAATAATAAAAAGGTTCATCAGCTCAATCATTATATCATTGTGGCGTGAAGGTTTTTTTCATTGATTATCAAGATCATTCTCGAACAATTCAAGGTAAATTTGAAGAGCAATCAATTGTGACAAGGATGATCATTGTCAGACTTGACGTCATCACAAAAAAAAAAGAAAAGACGTTGTCGATCTCTTGTCGCTTTTGTTTTCTTTTGTTTTTTTCTTTCTTTACATACATAATGCACATAGTTAGTTAAACCAATGAATACGACTCGTCGAGGCTCGTTTTCTTTCGGAGAAGAAGAAAAAAAGAGACATGTACAGTAGAGTATATTAGATGAGAAAAAAAAAGTAACTACGACGCATTGAGAATAAGACTTCTGTAAATAATTGTTTTCTTTATTTCATTGTTGTTTTTTTATTTTTAGTAAGACAAAAAAAAGAATAATGGCCGATTTTTATGAAATACTTGAGGTGGATAAAACGGCCACAGAAGATGAAATCAAAAAAGCGTATGTTATATCTATAGATAATAATCTTTTAATTAAGTATTATATTCTATTTTTAGATATCGTCGTTTAGCTCTCAAGGTAAGTTTTCATTGTTAAATTGTTTATTATATATTTGAAATACAAATTTTTTTTAGTGGCATCCAGATAAAAATCTTACAAACAAAGCTCAAGCAGAAGAAAAATTTAAATTAATATCTGAAGCTTATGAAGTTTTATCTGATAGTAAGTAGAAAAAGAAAAAAATTTTTTTTTTTTTTTTTCTTTTTTAGAAAATTTAAGCTTTTTATTGCATTTTAAAAGCAGCATCAGCAGTAGTCGTTTCTTTTTCTTTTTCTTTCCCCTAATAAAAATATAAACAGGTCGTGGACGATTTTTATATGATCAATTGGGTCCATCAATAATTTATAGCGAAAGAACAAATGAAGAACTTGAAGCATTATTTCGTGCAGTAATTATTGATGATGAATTTTTAAAAGTTTGTGATGAAGAAGTTAGAAAATATAATAATAATGAACAAGATACAATATTATCATTTTTAAATCCAATAAATCAATATGATTATGAAGAAATTTCCTTATTTGAAAATGAAAATGATTTAAATCCAAATGTTGTTCATGAAATAAATATGTCAATTCATTATGATTTTCAATATGATAAAAATAGTTCAAATTTAAAATTTGTTAAACGACATTTTAATATCATTCCAGAAGATAATGATCATTTAACAAAAAAAAATCGTTTTTCAAATTTAAATTTATCTAATGATATCGATCGATTTGTTAAAATACATGATTATGTTCATCATTCACAACAACCAGAACAACAACAACAACAACAACAACAACAACAACACAATACAAAAATACATAGACAAGAGATAAATAAAGAAGTAAATAATAAACAAGAAATAAATCAAAAGAAAAAACCTTCTTTAAAACGACGACAAACATTGAACGATCATTATAGACGAACAACAATAACACCAGTAGATGAAACACAATATTTTGATACATTTGCATTAACTCAACTTGTTGAACAACAATTAGAAGCTGCTTATCGTGCAACTACTATAAATAATTTTAATCCAATTAAAAATCAACCCACTCGTACACAACCAATTAATCGAGCTAAATTTGTTCAACCACCAATATTAATTCCAAAATCCGAAGAAAAATCTTTTCGTCATCGTGTTGATCATATTGAATTTCCAAAAACAACTTTTCCTCGTCCTTTACGTAAATCATTTATATCTTATGATGAAAACATTTCACAACCAATTCAATCAAAGAAAGAACGAGAAAGACTCTTATTACTTGGTCAACAAAGTATTAAATCATCAGCAGTTGCATTGGGTGCACATAAAATTCCAGATCATGTTCAATCAATTGATTTACTTGAAATTCCATGTATACAAAAGAATGGAAAACAATTTCAAGATTTTAAACTTATTAGTTATGATACATTTGATCATTGTCCAATTTCTTCAGTTCCTTCAACTTCTACTCTTCGTCGTACAAAATCAATGAGAAATATTGATAAATCAAATGAAATATCAAATAAACATTCATCAACAATTTCCGATGATATGAATTTACACAATCTCTCGAAAATTACATCACCATTGAAAACTATTAAACGTAATATATTTCATAAAAATGGAACAGCAATTAATAATAAACAAGTATTCAAAGAAAAGAGTAAAGGTAGGAAATCGTAGAAATAAAACATCGGGGAAATTGTAGAAAAATTAAAATTGACGACTATTGCTGTTGCTGCTGCTCTATATTATATTAATCATGCTCTTAACTAATTGATATTAATACATAATGGATTTTTAAAATAAATTGCAGAAGATAAACGTCGAAAATATGATCAATTGGGTCGAGCTGGTTTATCAAACGGTCATGGTGGTGGTGGTGGTGGTTTTTCATCTAGCGATGTATATGGAGGATTTTCAGAAGACTTTCTTAATCGAACATTTCATTTTCACAATCCATTCGATATTTTTGAACAGTTCATGTCCCATTTTGGCATGGATGATGATTTTGGTAAGTCAATATGTTTTATTACTTTTTTTTTTGTTTTGAAAATAATAAATTGATTTATAGTGAATTAAGTGCGAGCTTGCATATGTTGCTTTTTTTGCTTATTTTTTAGACATGTGGCCACATCATATTTTTCCTTCTGGTGAGGATACCAGAAGAATAAAACATTTTTTTCTATTTATTTTTTTTTCCCCAAATGATGCTCGCATAGCGCATGAGGTGATTGGGAATGTTTGACATATCTATAGTTAAAACATTTATGAATTAAAGTATTAATGTTATGTAATTAAATGTATTATTATTTATTTTAGGTTTTGGTATGCATCCATTTGCTGATTTACAACGTCATCGTCGTAATCGAGATCAGCATTCCTCCACATCAAGACGTGCACCACAGCAAATGACTTTGTTCGATAATTTTTTTTCTCCAATGAGAATGTCTTTATTCGATCATGATTCATTTGCCGGTGATTTTGGAGGAAATAATATGGGAACTGTTTCATCATTTAATATATCATTTGGGTCTGTATCTATATATATATATGTCAAAAATATTTGTCATTATTTATTTTTAGTAGTGGCGGTTCTCGACCACTATCGAAAAAAACAACTAAATCTACTAAAATGATTAATGGTCGACGTATAACTACTACACGGTAAGAAAAATTTTGAGTATTATTATTTACAAAGTATATTTTAGAGTGGAAGAAAATGGTCAAATAACAGAAATAATTGAAGAAGATGGTCAAATAAAATCAAAGAAAATCAATGGAGTTGTACAAGCGATTAAATAAATAAATAATTTACAATGAATATAGCATTCGCATTCCAACACATATACATACATTGAACTGTTTCTATACATAAAATATATATTCATAAATTTTTTCTTTTTTTTGTATGATTTATGTGTTGTTCTATCGAAGAATTTTCTTCTATTTTTCACGAATCGAAAGATCTTTCTTCTTCTTTTTTTTTTTTTTTTTGTTTTTTGTTTTTGATTACGACTAAAGTGATGATGATGCTATTCTATGCTCATCTTTTTCATTTGTGCGTCTATATGTGTGTGCTTAATACGAGAGATATTTATTTCAATGAATTGGAAAAGATAAGCACTAAAATAAAGTTGAAAAAAAACAAAAAAAACAAAAACAAAATGCTTTAAAATTTCTTCATTTTAGAGAAGAGATAATGAGTAATTCAAATGAAAAGGATCTAGTAGATGGAATACGTACTCAAGGGTTATCATTACCTACCGATTTATCAGCAGAAAAAATACAAGATTTTCAAGCTGCTTTTAGTATTATGGATACACAATCGAAAGGTTTTGTAGGAGCTGAAGATATTATTCAAGTAGCAGAATCTGCAAGTATTGAAAGAACAAGTCTTTCATTTGTTTGTTTTTTTATTATTATTGTTTATTTTTGAAGATATGATATTAGCTGATAATGAAGCTCAATTGTTACTTGGTTCAGCTGATGAAGATCATTCAGGTGGAATTGATATGAGAGAATTTATATCAATTATGACAACACCTATTAAACAAGAAGATTTAGAAGATGAACTTCGTGCAACATTTCGAGTTTTTGATAAAGATGGAAATGGAACAATTAATGCTAATGAACTTAAACGATTTGTTCGAGTAAGACAATAAACTACACAAAAAAGAAAAAATCATTTCAATTGAATTTTAGCTATGGGATAGTGAATTAACAGAAGATGAAGCTGATGATATGATTGGTCAAGCTGATCCACATAAAACAGGATCAATTAATTATGATGCTTTCATACAATTTCTTCTTCATACATAAGATAAAGAATAATCTAATCAATTTATTTTTTTTCTTTTTGTTTTAAATATATAATATTATTGTATAGTTTCAATAATGAAATGTACGCAGTTATTTTATATTTATTCTTGTTTACGAATAAAGATTCCCTACAAATATTAAAATGTCAATGTACAGTAGACAAATAGAAGAACATTTTATTTAAGAACTAAAATATCGAATATGAATATTGAAAGAAATATATATATATATATATTGTAGATCATCATTCATTAATCAATGAAAGACGTATTAAATATTTTATAGAATGATAAAAATATATGTTTAGATAAAATAATAAAGATATAAAAAATTTCAATTCCTTACAAAAATATTTTTTATGAAATCTTTATAAGTTACCGATGTTGGGTAATTGTATTTTAAATATCTTATATACTACTACTAAATATTAATATTTTCTTATGACTAAAAGAAACTTTAGTAGAGTTCTTGAACAATTAAAATATATTACACAGTGAAGCTGCTGTTGACATTGTCACAAAGAATAATTTATAACATAAGTTTCAGTTAGTGAATTACTGCCTACTATTAATACACGTCTATGATGAATGACGATTCACATAATATATTGTAATCACTATGAAAGAAGAACAAATAATAGTTATCTTAAATTAAATTATGCTTTATACGAATCTTACAGCAAATTTTATTTTAGTTTTTTTTGTTCGAGAATAGTAAGGTAATCTTTGACCGAAAGTGTGAGGCAAAGTTTGTGGTGCGAATCGTTGCTCATTTTGATCTGATTGAAAGTATCTTAGAAAAAGCTAAAAAATATGGATGATGATCAAAGTTTCGCATTCTTTGAATATGAAACTGGAAATACTGTACCGGTTTTTGTTTGAGACTAGTGAAGGAATTTTTTTCGAAGCTAAAAAAATTAGATTCAGTGATGATCCATTAGGCTTTTGCTGACACCTATAAGTTCTTTTTCGAAGGTACCAAAAAAAATATTTGAGCTGGTGGTTTTGTCGAAAAGACAAGCCTCCAAAAAATTAAGTATTTAACTACGCAATGACTTTTACATAAGTGAAACTATAGGCATTTAGCCAAGAACTCCTCTTTATACAAAACGCTTTGTGGTTAGTGAGTAGACCCCGTCAGGTAGGACCCGGACCCGCACGGGTCCGGGTCCGGGTCCGGGTCTGAAAATTTTGCTTTAACTGGGTCCAGGTCTAAAGAAAACTTTGATCCATACAATTTATTTTGAATTTTTTTAAAGTTTTGTTCGTTTTATACAAAGAAGAGATCAAATGTATTTAGAAAATAGATAAAAAACAACAAAACCCTTCTTGACTATACTATCTAAACTGACTTGTCATTGTGTTTGGATCCAAAAAATTTAAGCGACCGGGTCCGGGTCCAAAAATTCTGGACCCGACGAGGTCTATTAGTGAGTCAATTTTTCAAAAATGAGGATTTAAGGAAAACAAAGACTGAAGTGATCTATACAAAAACAAAAAAGAACCAATAGTGCATCTTGTAGAATAGCTTCTTTTCTACAAGTTAATATATTAATCAACTAGTTTTTGTTTTGTATGTTTTGATACATGATATTGAAAAGTAAAATCAAGCACTTGATCAGTTCCTTTTGTCTTCTAGACTTTTTGTAATGCCAGTGTCAATAAACTGATTAATAACACTTTATTTTGTTTTTTTTCTTCTCTTTTTCTTGCATAAAACTTGTTTGTACTCCGTTTGATTATTTACCATACTGTAGACATAAGATGTCACGAAAAAGAACATAATTAGTTACGCTTTCAAACGAAATTGTTTATTACGTCTTCGATTTTCTTACTACATGTGATATTCTTCGTGCATTTACTTAATTGAATCATTGATATGATAAGCTCATACAATTATATGTCACATCCATTGATGTTGTGAATGATTGGCAAGAAGATCATAATCAACTACAATGATTTTGTAGATCCATTCAAACATTCAAAATTGATCAATGTCACTTCTATTATTTATCTAATTATTATTCTAGCCAACTGCTTTCACTTAGTCTTATCAATGTGATGGAATGACAATATCTGTCTTATAGTATCATTCTATTAGTGAAATGTTTGTGAAGAGCAGATAAAGATATCTTGATATTTCTTCTAACATTAAAGAGATTCTTGATAATCTATAGTTTACACTCGTACGATACAAAAAACATTCGATCGCTTCAATTTCTACATTTCATTTATACTCGGAAATAGAACGCTAAACAGTATCAAAATATCGTCAACAATCGATCATATCAACTTTCATGTTGAAATCAATGATCTGCGTCAGCGCACAAATTGTTGCTTGCATGCCTACTTACTACCGTTTTCTGTTGAGAAGCTTTATAGTTTTACTTCAGGTTCTGAACGCAATAGTGAGTCTTCATTTTTTTTTCCGTTGGTCACCTTTACTTTACAGGAATGCCATAATCTTGTCCAATTCTATCGCGGCGCGTCGTTTCTTATAAAATAATTGTAGAATGTGATTAAAATCGAACGCCGTATGGAAAAATAGCTGAACAAGTTCTCACTCAAATGCAGAAAATGAATGATTGCTGTCATAATCTTAGTCTTCACCGTAAACCAAAAATCGTAGAATTTTCTCTTTAAAATTTATATATACTACTACCATTATTTAAATCCTGTGTAATCGAATCTTGTATATTTTACACAAGAAAGTAACAAAATAAATTAACTATGACTTTGTTTGTCTGCAGACAAAGAAATTAAATAGATAGCAGTACATGTATATAAACTTCGTAGAAATGAACTGATTTTATAGATGATCAATGTTTGCGTTTAACAAAATTTGAAATCATACTTATTGAATCGAAATAATCGAATTATAGTGAACAATTTTTTTATATGATACACTAGTGTATTGTTCTTCTAAATTAACGAAGTGTTTTATTTAAAGATCTAGATATCAAAAAATGTTTAAGAAAGCTCTCATTATGGATTGTGTAGATGCAATATAGATTTCATTTTTAAATATTTAACTATATCCACAAATAAAAATAATTTCAAAAAACATTTCCCAGATAGGCAACAAATATTTGCATGTACTTTGGGATAGTCTACTCATGTCAATAATAGAAGGAAGGAGGGACATAACTATCAGATATTATCAGTATATTCTAACAGTCTTCATTAGAGTATATCTGGAAAATGAGCGATTTTATCTAATATTGTATTGTTGTAATAGTATGATAAAATTGGCTGGATCGGCATGGACCTTAGGTGGTCATGTCAGGGTTAACTAAGCATGGTAATATGATTTTAAAATGCTTCAATTCTTTTTATTTTTTTATATATTTTTATTCCAAACAAAAAACAAGTATATCTTAATGATAATTCAAAAGAAAATATTCAATAGCTGTAGAAAAAGCAGCAAAACCGACTGCACCAATGACACTCGCTTGAAGTCCAGCTAGAAAAAAAAACATAGTTTACAATGATTTATTTAATTTTGATTTATTTTCAATAAAACTGACCACGAAGTCCTAGTAAACCACCCGTAACAAATCCAGCATAAGTTCCATTTCGAATATCAGATTTTGCTCGATACTAAAAATCAAAATTTAATCAAACTTATTCTTCTTAATAAATAAAATTTTCCTACAGATTCAATGTTACATTCAACTGTACTAAAAACTAAACCAACAATTGCAAAATTTTTAGCATAACTCAACGATCTAGTTCGCATTTCACGCCAAACATCTTTTAGTGTTGGTGTTGCACCTGGTGTTGCTGTTTGAATCGTAGACATTGGATCAATACTTGCTGTAAATACACCAAGACCAATACCCAATACAAAACCTTTGGAATAAAAATAGAAAAAACACTTTAAAAATTTCAATATTATAATTGAATTTAATAAACATGCCTCCAGCACAACTAATCATTGCTTTAAATGTACAACTTTCCATAAATTTTCTCACACGTAATTCCTCTGGTGCCATTCCAGCTGAACCCATTCCTGGTAATCTTCCTGATCCATCACTTGGAATTAATCGATTATTAATACCTGACCATTTTCTTTTTGAACCCATTAAATGATCAATTATTGAAAATATTTGTCGATCAGCAACTGTTGTTAAACTTTCATCTAATAATGGTTTTTCTTCTTTTTTTACGAATATATTTGGTTGATAAACACCTGAAGACATTGCTAGAAAAAAATTATTTATTCATACATACATATATATATATTTATTTATTTATTTATTCATTAAAAGCATATTTATTTTAACATTGAAACACTACATTTATGAAAAAAAAAATAAAGAGATTAAAATATAATTACAAAAATTTACAACATTGAGAATGACAAGAAGAGACAACAATTATATATTTAAATGAGATTGGGTTTTTGCGTTATACGAGATCGTTCATAATTTTCACTTTGTGATTGAGATTGTGTTGGTCGATTAAGATCATTTAAATCAAAAAATTGCGTATCACGATCAATTGGTGAACGAATTGAATCTATGTTTAATAGAAAATAATAGATTTATTTTAAATTAAAAATAATATTTACCTATTGAAACACTTGACATTGATGAAGATAAATTAGCATTAAGACAAGCTGCTGCTGATGATGCTGAATAATGATGATGATGACGAAATGTATGATGATGATGTAATGATGTATGTCGTGTACCATTATTTCCAGTTAATCCACTTCCAACTCCACTATTACCTGAATCATCTTCATGTTCATCTAATGATGGTAAACATGTTTCAACCATAGCTTCTAACCAATTAACAAATAATTCAACATTATCAGGATTTTGTCTTGATACAGTAAATGGTCCAGCAAAACGCCATAAACCACCAAAACCACATGATTGTAAATAACTAAGTTGTTGTTGTTGTTGACTTGCATCATCACCAGCTGAACAAGCAATCATTTGATATATAATTGATTGTACTGATGCTAATATTGATTCATCATGTGATAATGAAAGAACAGAATTTATTTTTGCATCTAATAAATTATGTATAACTGGAAATACTTTTGGAAAAACAATACTTGATTCTGATAAATATTCATATAATATTCTCATTTCATTTTCATCTGATGTATTACGTACAAGTGTTGCTAATACAGTTAATAAAAGTGCTTGTGTTGATGTATCTGTTAAAACATCTGGATCTAATAATAGATTTGTTTCACAACTTGCCTAAAAAAAATTCGAAAGAATAAATTAAAATCTATAGATTGATATTATTTTTGGTTTTTCTTAATTCATTTTACATGACTAATTCAAATTAAACATTGTTATCAATATGGAATTCTACTTTGAAATATGCTCTTAATACAAATATTTTAAAAAGTCTTTTACAAGAATTCATATTAATAAGAAATGTTTTCAATTAATCCTTTCTAATTTCAATAAATTTTTTTTGTTTATAGATACTGCTTACTATTATAATAAAAACTCTATGGAAATTCGAGTTTCTATTGATATGTAACTCGACTATCGAATTTGTAGAAGCTCTATATCGCGAAAAGATCTCTTCACTGTTTATAACTTATTATTAATGATTTTTTTTTGAGTTTATACATCGATGAATGCAATAATTTCTTATTGTTTAGTTAAGTTATCTTCTTAAATTGTAACATCTATAGATAAACTGAATTACTTCGAATAATTAAAAGAATGAACACAACACTTTCGATATCTAATAAATGAAATGATTCAAATAAATCATCTATGAATATTTTTTTTTTCTATTTTGTTTAAATAATTATCTATTTCTTTTTCGATCAAAGATAAATTGAAAAAAGAGTTTATATATTACTTCAGATGTTTGTTGTGTTTCAGGTAAAATTTGTGGTGTAACAGCAATAGTTGGTACAGATTGTTTAACTTGTTGTAATTGAACAAGTGTTGATGCTGGTTTAGTTAAAATACGTGGTATTGCATTTTCAATATCAATTGATTGATAATATCGTGCATGTGGTGGTATAGATAATAAACGTGAATTATTTATTGTTGATACTCCACTAACTTTTCTTGTTTTATCTAAATAAGATGAATCCCAAGATTTTAATCGTCGTGTAAAAATTCCTTGTTGAACATTAAGTGATGTTGAACCAGCTATATCAGCAATAGATGTACTTGAATGTGATTGTGGTAAATGTGATAATGGATTAATAATTGATGTTGAATAATTTGATGAAGGTAAATTATTTGTATTTGTTGCTGTTGGAAATATATTTGATCGATTTTTAATTGGACATCGAGTACGAACTTCTTCAACAACACTAACTAATGCTGCTAAATATGGTATTGATGTTGATGTTACTTTAAATTTATCATGTGATTCTGATTTTGCTGTTATACTAAGAAGAGTAGAAAGTACACGAGTTGTACGAACAACAGTTGATTGTACTGGATGACGGAAACCTAAAAATAAATCAAACAAAAAAAAATTTCAAATAATAATATCATCAATCATTTATATCATATTTCTAGTTCAGTGATAAAAAATAGAAAGAAAGAAATAAACAACATTTTATCATTGGTCTATATAAAGCAAAGTTTCATTTTTTTCAACTTACTGATTCAGTAAGCGAAAATGAAACAATACATTTTATTTTATTTTGGATACATGATGGCTATTTCAATAGGTATTAATGCATTGAATGAAACATTTTTCATGCATAATGATTTTTTAATCGATGGTGATAGTGAAATTTTTTATACAGTTAATATTCTTTTAGAAGCTAATGGAATATTAACTTCAAAGATTGGGTAAGACCTAATTAAAATTCATATTCATCAAATTTCTTTTCTTTTTTAGTCAAAATGATACAGGTTTATCAATACGTTTAACAACTCGTGATGGTATTAAAAGTGAATGGTATCATTTGTATACAAATGAAGAATCAATTTATTTCGGTCAACGTAGTTATTATCTACCTTCAATAAAACAAAATTATAGTCCTATTTCTAGTATTGCTATTCGTATTGATAAATTCGAATTAGCTATTTCAACAATGCCTTATTATCTTTGTATTCATGGAACAATAAATGATAATAATAGTACAATGAATGAAAATTGGAATGGATGTACTTATATACAACCATCTATTGGAAATAAAAATGGTGCTAATCAAGAATATCTATTACGTGATGCTAATGGAAACTTAATCTAAAAAACAAACATTCTTTTTTTTTTTCTTTTTTTTTCTTACCTTTAATAAGATGTCCAACAAGTGCAAAATTAAAATTTGATTTAAATGATAAACCCATACTAGCATCTAATTGTTTAAATTGCCATTCTAATGGTTCTCTAGCATCCATCATAATTCTTTCTAAAATTTGTTGTTGATGTGCAGTTGTATTTTCAAATAAATTTAACATATGATCAAGTGTATGAAGATTTTGTTCAAGTAATGCTAAACCAGATGCATATAATTGTGTTTCTTCTAATTGTAAAATAGATAATGCAATCCAAAACATAAATTTATGTATTTTAGATTCAGGTGATAATAATGGTAATAAACGTGTTAAACACATTATTATTGAATCAATTAAATCAATATCAGAAAATGATTCAAGTGCTTTAACAAGTATACGTAATAAGGTTTTTATTTCTCCATCACTTGTTGTTTTTGATATACAACCATAAACAATACTGAATACAAAAACAAAAAAAAAATAAGACAAAGAAAAAAAAACAAGAATTTCTTATTATGACTTACATAGCTCTTGGTTGTAAAGCAGGATTAAATTGAAAAGCAAAACGTTTAGCTAATTCTTGCCATTGTGCTAACCATTCACAATCAGGTATATCATTCATACAAGCTTCCATTAATTCTAATAAAGTATCTGTTATTGTTTCAAGTGATGTTAAACTCATTCTTTCAGGTTGTTCAATTGTTGGTGAATATGTATTTGTTATTGTCATTGAACGTCCACCAGTTAATATTTGTTGTTGTTGTTGTTGTTGTTGTTGTTGTTGTTGTTTATCTGGTGATAATATTTGACTTGAATGTTGTTGTTGTTGTTGTTGTCTTATTATACCTGTACGAAATGCAATAACACTTGCTGATTTAACTTTTGATAAACCAAATAAAGCATAAAATTTTGGTAAGGAAAATTCCGCCAATGATAAACGTAAAACACGTTGAGTTTCATCACTAAATTGTGGTTGAGAACATGTACATAATGAATGTAATATATTAATAACAAGACCATGTGTTGATGCACGTAATGTTAATGGTCCTGTACTAACAAGTAATGTAACAATATGAAATAAAAATGGTAAATGTGATGCAACATCAAGTGAATTATTAAATGATAGCATTAATAAATAACGTAATAATATAGCAATATCATCCCATATTAAATGTTGTTCTAATGTTGGTGTTGGTGATAAACATGTTTTTTCAATTAAACGACAAAGACGTCCAATAACTTTTCGTGAAAATAATAAAGCATTTGAACTAGCTAAAGCAACAGCTGTATCAGCTAATATTTCAGCTTGTAATGAACCAAGACCACCAAGTACAGATCGTTTAATAAAACAATCTAAAACAATATCTAATAAATCACTAACTTGTCCAACATGTGACCATATTTTAGCTTGTATTGATGGATACATATCATCTTCTTCAATAGTTAATGTTATTAATTTATCAAGTATCATTGAAACTTTCGCTCGTTTATTATCATCATTTTGTTTACAAAATCTTGTTAAATTAGGTAACCATTTAGTCATATATTCTAAACAAAGATGTTTTAATTCAATTGTTGAATTTCTAAAACCTTCAATACATTCTTCTAAAAATTCTAATGTTAAATGTGCTTCTTTTAATGCTAATTTTTCTGATATTGTTTTAATAAATATTGTATTATTTGATGGTATACAAAGACCAGATGATTCAAGTAATTGACCTTCAATACGTAAATCAAATGTTTGTGTTAATGCACATAAAAGATTATAAGCAGCAGAACGTAATGATGGATCAAGTGAACCTAAATTTAATAATGCTATATTTAATAATGTTCCTGGAACATCTTTTGGACGAATTTTATTATGAATTTGTATTGAATCAGGTTGAGCAAGTTCCTTTTAAAAAAACAAAAGAATAAATATTTAGTTTTGTCAGAAAAAAAAAACAAAAACAAATGAAAATAAAATATATTACCCA